TTATACCACTCATATTTTTACATCAAAAACTGCTGAAAAAGGAAACTCAGTTTATTTAGGCCATCCTAGAAGACTGGAAAATGAAGCCGTTGGTTGTCAGTTTTACATTACTAATTTACTCAAATATTGGACAGATTTTCTTTTGCTTTGAGTGCCTAACCCATTGGTTGGGGTAAAAATTCAGGTATATTGGTTTAGTTAACGTAGGAAGTCAGATTTAAAAGAATATTTCTTCAGAGTAATTGCTGTAGCTCAGAAACATATCTTCTGGTGAAATACATTTATACCCATTATCTAGACTTCGCTTTTAATACTTTAATTTATTCTGTCTTAACTATTTTATTTTACATCTTTCTTCTCCACAGGTAATCAATTGTTTCCCCAAACAATGGTTCATGAATCTGAAAGGAGAAAGGACTATTTCTCAGTTAGAAAACTTTTGCCGATACCTTGTACACTTAGCAGATACAATTTATAGAAACAGTATTGGGTGCTCTGATGTGGAAAAAAGAAATGCAAGGTAATTTTGTAATTAATGAAATGGTAAACTAGAGTTGTTTTAGTTGCCAGATTTAGTATTAAAATGTTTTAAGTAGAAATATTTATATTTTAGTTTAAATTGTATGTTCACTTAGTATTATAAACCTACCAAAAATGCACATAATTTTTCATTTTTGCAGTTTTTACTTTATCTTTTTTCAGTATATTATTTATGAAGATACTAAGGAAAGACTTCTGGTAAGGACCAGCCCCTCAGGGGAGTGAATCAATGGTGGTTTTCTCTGTCTCCCTTTTTGAAGAATTAGAGAGGTCTCAGACTCTCTTGTTTGGAGTTTCATTATACAGATGTAAATTCAAGGTTATCTCCCAATTTGGGGAAATTTTTTGTCTTAATCCATATTATGAACTAGAGGTTATCACTAATGGCTTTTTGGGAGCAACTTATTTCTAATTTTTATCAAGGGTTGTAAGAAAAGAGTGAATGAACCATTAGCCTTTCTGTGGACATTAATTACGGATATTCAGGTAATTCTGGGATAAATCTCTAGCATAAAAAGTAAATAATAGCACTAGGGCAGTTTGAAGGAATTGTCTTTTTAAATTTTTAATTTCATATATCTTTGTAATGTCAAAGTTTCATTTTTGTTTAGATCACACCATTAGTCATACCCCTATAACAACACCTTTTTCCGTTCCCTCATTCCCCTTTCTTGAAAACAGACCTTATTTTCCTGCAAGAAAATTGGATATTTTTTCCACAATAAAATTAAAGTAGCTATTAAAGATTTTAGGCTGGGCGCGGTGGCTCACGCCTATAATCCCAGCACTTTGGGAGGCTGAGGCAGGCAGATCACGAGGTCAGGAGATCGAGACCATCCTGGCCAATATGGTGAATCCCCGTTTCTACTAAAAATACAAAAATTAGGTGTGCGTGGTGGTGCATGTCTGTAGTCCCCCCTACTTGGGAGCCTGAGGCAGGGGAATTGCTTGAACCTGGGAGGCAGAGGTTGTAGTGAGCTGAGATTGTGCCACTGTACTCCAGCCTGGCGAAAGAGCAAGACTCCATCTCAAAAAACAACAAAAAAGATTTTAATGGTAAAATTCTTTGTCAGATTTTGGTTGATTTGATTTTGTTCTTAGTGTGTGCCATTTTGTTATTTGTTGGCACTAACATTTTTTCTCAGTGTGTTGTTTTCTACTAGATAAGTTTTATCACATTTTAAGCTTTGATTTACATACATTTAACAGTGTTTCTGTTTGGGAGTTAACAAATAGTGTTTACTTTTCTACAGAAAAGAACTTTAACAGCTATGTAAGCACCTGCTTTGTGCAATGCATATAAAGCAGGTTTCACGTGGGTTGCCAAGTTTTGCAAATTCTAATTCTTCCCTAATAGGGGCTTACTACAATTCTATAGAAGAGATGAGACAATTACTAATGTCATATTACGTCTTGTTTCTTATGAGTGGTTTAAGCTAACTGTTAAAACAGTCATTCTTAAAGTGTGGTCCCTAGACCAGCAGTATCAGCATGATACTGGGAGTTTGATAGACTTGCAAGTTCTCAGGCCCCACTGTGGGCCTACTGAATAGAACTCTTGGGGTGGGGCCAGGGATGATCTGCATTTCAGCAATTCTCTAGGTAATTCTAATGTGTTCTAAAATTTGAGGATTACTTCCTAATAAGAAAGCAGAATGCCTTCTAGCTGGGGTGATAAGGAAAGTCAGATTATACTTTATTTAGTGAATTTTGGTGGAGTGGAAGTTACGCTGGATCTTGATGGATTAGTGATGAAAAGACACAAATACCTTTTGTGTTCCAGGTATATGCTGAAAGAGCCAGGACTCTTGTTTGAGAAGGAATGGGAGACAGGCCTCTGAAGCAGTTTGAAAAGAGATTGCTTTCTTTTCTTTCGCAATATTAATGAAACTCATTGATCTCAATGAATTTTGTTTTTTTTTTTTTTAAATGGGTCCCCTGTCTCTGGGCTAGTCATTTAAACATATGTAAGTTTTGTTTTATATGGATAAATGTAAACTTTTTTTTTTTATTTTTTTTAATTTTAGTAGAGACGGGGTTTCACCATGTTGGCCAGGCTGGTCTTAAACTCCTGAGCTCAGGTGATCCACACGCCTCAGCCTCCCAAAGTGCTGGGATTACAAGCGTGAGCCACCGCGCCCAGGCTTTTTTTTTTTTTTTCCTACGTGCTGTAGCTTGTATATCTATTTCCCTTCTTTGAAAATGTGTGCTTGGAAAAATTGATTGCAGAAGCTCTAAAATAGCCATGAAATCAGTAGCAAATTTTCTCTTAGATGTACTAATTAATGAGATGCTGCTATATGTTTTTCTTTTAGGGAAAACATAAAACAGATAGTAAAACTCCTTGCAAGTGTTCGAGCTTTGGATCATGCTATGTCTGTTGCAAGTGACCACAATGTGAAAGAATTTAAGTCTTTGATTGAAGGAAAATAGATCTGTGAGACTGAAAAACCTATTTGCTTGATTACCATTCCCAATGTGTAAATTTTGTATATATGTAAAGTTTCTTAAACTGTAAAATAGCGATTCTTGTTTTAATACAAAAAACATTATATTCAATACTGTGTCCTTAAATGATATTTCTTCAGAATGAAAGGAATTCAGATTATTTCTAGGAGTCTATGAATGTTTACTGCCTGTCATACTTTGTTTACAGAAGTATTTTGTATGGTCATTTAAATTAACCCTCTCAGTTAATTGTCCCCTGTAAACGATGTGTGCAGTGTAAATTGTGTAATTATGCATATATATATTTATACCACCATGGATTTACTTTCACACTGGAAATTTGTGGTGTTTTTCTACAGAGGAAGCCTTTTAACAGCAGAAAATTATCCGGTAGCAAATTGTCTTAGGGAAATTACTACACTGTTGTAACAAAAGGGCTGGCAAGTGACTAAATGTTCATTACCTTTTGGTTAGCGTTGCTATCACTGTAGCTGTGCTGCCTTAACATTGAGAGTTGAGTTGTGGACTTAGTCGTTGAGTGAATGTTGAACTTTTTTCCTTGAATCAGCGTTAGAGTCAAATGTGGGTTTAATGTGAATGCTAAATGATATATGCAACATACTTTCAAATGGAACATAGAAATTTCACTTTTGAGAATAATAAACCCACAACCTAATTGCATGGTTTTGGGCTGACCGTCCTGTCTCATTCATGATTTTACTCCCTGCCCAGCTTGCACATACATGCATTTGAATTTTAGTAGTCTGTCATATTTAAAATCCCACATATGTGAGTTAAATATGCAATAAAGAATACGCCTTGCTGATTAGCCACACCCAGGCAATTTAATATCCATGGTCTTCTATAATGTTTATATCACATTGTAAATATTCAAAGAACTTGTTTTAAAGTTTATGCTTTCTGATTCTGTGATTTTCAAAAGAGGAATTTTTTGGAAATTAAGGACTATCGTTTGATAATTATATATGTAATTAAGCTTTAGCCAAGCATTAAATTAATTTTTAAATATATCCTTTTTTGTATTTTCCTGATGACTAAGTTTGCAGCATTTCAAATGACTAATAAAGTGGGACTATGAGCAGGCCCATGTGTACCCTTGATCAGAACATAATATGCAGAACAGTGTCATGCACTCTATTCCCTCTGTTAATTTTATCTTATCCCTACATCTTTGTATTAGTTCATTCTCAGGCTGCTATAGGGACATACCCAAGACTAGGTAATTTATGAAGCGGTTTAATTGACTCACAGTTCTGCATGGGTGGGAAGGCCTCAGGAAACTTACAATCATGACGAAAGGCACATCTTCACAGGGTGGCAACAGAAAGAATGAGTGTCGAGGGAAGGGGGAAGCCCCTTATAAAACTATGAGATTTCATGAGAACTCACTAGCAGGAGAACAGCATGGCAGAAACCATCTGCCATGATTCAGCTATCTCCACCTGGTCCTGCCCTTGACATGTGGGGATTATTACAATTCAAGGTGCGACTGGGTTGGGAAACAGCCAAACCAAAACAGTATTCATTCTGGATGAATTTTCTGTTACACCTTACTGGCCTACTAAGTAGAATTAAAGTCAGAACACCTATTCCTCATTTTAAGTAGAATAAAACATATAAACATGTATATGTATCACATGCAGATCATTTAGGCCTTAAACTGCATATTATTTCCAAACCCATTAGACTAATTACTCTGCTTTTAAGAACTCTTAAACTCAGGCTTTTTATCCTATGAAATCTATCAGGCTATAGGTTTCAGGAATGGGTTTAAACATCACACTAGGAATTTGATGTAGGGTACATAAAACCAATAGTTTTTCTATCTCAAGCAGAACATTTTTATTCCTGATATAGCTTAAGGACATTATTTCTTATGAAAGGAATTCTCAAAAGATAAATCCAGAACCATTTTAATAAAGCTGGTTTTGCTTTTTAGTTTTTTCTTTTGGAGCAGTCCTCTGAATTAACTCCAACATAGGTGACAAATGTTTTTGAGAAGGAAAACTATTGAAACAACATAGTCAAGAGTGACTAGTACTACTGTAGCCAATGATGTTGATGTCTCACCATGTCCCTGTTCTTGCCACTGGTGTCCTCTTGCAAGTACTTGCTCCTCTGCCTGAGGGCTTTTCTTTGGCCTGTGCAACAGGCTGGAGTGTCCTGGAGATACTTCTTGGAACAGATCTCAGCCAAGGGAGGAAAGGAATTGGAGGTTAAATGCCCCGTGAGTCAGTTGGGGTCCTCTTGGGAGCAGACACTGAGATGGCATTAAATGTACAAGAAGTTTACTGGGGGGGAATGTGTATAAGAGAAAACAGGGGAGCCTGGAGGAGGCTGGGAAAGCTGTCAGGCAGGCAGGTTTCACCTGTGTGAAGGAAGGAGGGAGGGATGAAAGTCTTAGACATTGGTGCAGTTCTAAAGTTTCAGCAGGGCCAACGGGCAGCCCTGACAAGTACAACCAGGGTCTCCTTGCTAATATGAGATCTGAGAGAATTTCATGATCACTAAACCCAATTTGCTAATCTCTCAGGTAGGAAAGCAGATATGGTCCACATTGCCTACAAGAGGTCTTCAGTTGAGTAGAGCCATCGTTGCCTGCAGTGGTAACATTACCAGCATCCAGAATTGGCCAAAAATGGAAAGTGCTAATAATCGTCCTTGAAATCATGAAACCCTTACAAAAATGGTCAAATGTTACAGAGCTGCAATATAAAATAGGAAGCTGTAAGTTGCTACATTGTAGTGGTTGTTTATGGTTACAAGAGCTCTTATCTCTAACATGGCAATACCTGTGTAATAAAGGGAGTCTTGCCATTCACTGATTATGACAAAACATTTGATTTGTTGTTTCAAGTAAATGAAAATGAGAAAAACACTGGCACTACATGTAGGAAGAAAAATTAAATATATCTGAATGTTTGGGAGGTCTTGTACTTTCATAAATGTTTTGAAGACTGCCCTCCAGAACTGAAACTGTCCATGGATATGGGGTTCACAGCTGCTAAGGGCTGCTTCATACTGCCCAAACACAGGCTGAATATTGTTATATGGGATTGGTATCGAAGTGCAATGTAGACGGGCCCCTGGCCTGCTTCTGGACTCTAGCCCCCGGTAATTTGTACTGGGTTCCTGTGAGTCCTAACTCCAGAGGCTTAAAGGATACAATCATTCAGTACAATGAGAATCCCTAGCAGATGACTTCTTAGGATCTTGTTAAATATCTTTAGGAAAATATATGAGAAAAGTTTTGACAAAACACTGCAGAAACAGTCTAAGCTACTTTGCAAAAACATTTTGATCATGAAAGCTTACCTTTTACGCGTAACCTTAGTGAAATTGCTGTTGCTTTGGGACCCAGAGTCAACTTGAACAACTTGAACACAACTCTAATCTTGAAGGTTGAGCCCTGTTTTTGGCTCCGGCACTTTGATTTCCACAAGAATCCTTGTGTGTCATTAAAATAAACCCCCTTCACTTGATCTGTCTTCAGTTGGTCTCTTGTTCCAAATGAAAACACTTCATTTTTATCTATCACAAGTTTCCTGTTTGCTCTAGTGGCAATTTCCTGTCTATGGTACCTGCAAGTTATTTTTCAGTTTTTTTTTTTTTCCCCACAGTGATTCTGCCCTCGAGCTTACTAGTTTTTAATTCATAGGATTTCCATTTTTCTAATTTAAAATCTCATCCTTCACTGGTTACATTGAATTTCTTTAAAGAAAAAGCTAATGCTCTTTGTAACCTACTGTTGTGTTGTCTTTCAAGACCACTGTTTTCTCTTGAACAATGAGCCATTTCTTTCTCAGTCATTGGTGGGGAGCATGGCCAGGTACAACTAGGGTCTGCAGATCCTGCTATACTATACTATATTAGGACCAGGATCTGCAGAGCACTATACTAATTGCTCTGCAGATCCTGATCCTGATATAAAAGTTAGCCTATGTAACCTGAGAAGAAGCTGTTAAAGGTTACTGAATCAGATTGTGACTATTTCCCTGATTTTCCATGTTGTCTAGCATTTTTGACAAAAAAAAAAAAAAAGCCAGACAAAAGAGAAAAGCAGGTACTACTACTAATTCACATAGTAATCACCTGTCAAAATTTATAGCCATGCACTTGATACAGTTTTTTAATGTGATTATTTGGGATTATCATTAATCATCTGTAAATACGTAAATTCTTGTATAGTCTGCCTGGCACATACTATTAGGTTGGGCCATATGTTGCCACTATGTGAGGTTTTTTTTTTTTAACCTATGGAAATAACAATTCCATGTTTCCACATAATGAATTGCATATTTCAACGAGAGTTACCCATAGGAGAAATAACTTGCTCACAAATCAACATTGAAAATTTAGGGTGTTTGTCTTTACTTTGTTCTCTTGGATGTGATATCTGAAACACCTACCTGGGGCTGTCTCTCTCCTGATGGAAAGTCACATCAGCCTTGTGTTGATTTCTTGTAGCTGGTGTTAGAAATTACCACAAACTGGGTGGTTTAAAACAACAAAAATGTATTTTCTCACAGCTCTGGAGGCCAGAATCAACAGGGCCATGCTCCTTCCGAAGGCTCTAGGCTCAAATCCTTCCTTGCCTCTTCCAACTTCTGACGGCTGCTGACATAGCTTGGCTATTGCCAAGCTCCAATCTCTGCTGCTGTCTTCATATTACTTACTTTCTTTCTCTTTCTCTCTCTCTCTCTCTCTTTCTCGTGTGTGCATGTTTAATTTTCCTCTGCCTCCCTGTTATAAGGACACTTGTGATTGCATCTAGGGCCCTAGAGCCCACCTGGATAATCCAAAATAATCTCAAGACCCTTAATCAAATCTGCAAATTAACCTAAATTAACATTCACAGACAAGGACATCTTTTTGAAGCAGCATTTTTAGCCTCCCACAGGCTCTTCATTGCTCAGTTTCAAGGGTTGAGTTGGTGTCAGCCTGTCTCTGTAGGCCCTTAGGATCTCACTAAGAAATCTGTGTATGCCACTTAACCTATATTTTAAGTCACCCTACCCCAAAGACATTTCAAGGTCAGTGAAAATTTTTCCAGCTATTGTCAAATGCTGTAACAAAAGTAGAAGTATAAATAGGAAAGAGGGACGAGAAAAAGAAGATAGAACCAGTCAAGCCACTAGTCAAATTGCCTTTATGTTTTTCAAACTCTGGGCATGTCTTTTCATGACTAAAATGAGATGTGGAAAAGCTGTGGCTGTCTAACAATCTAGGAATAAGAGTCTTGCTACCCCCCAGTTTAATTTGAAGAAAGAAGCAGGAATTCCAACCCACAACCCAGAAATTTTGACCTAAATCTCCTTAGTTCCAAATAAAAAGGAACCAGGAATAGGCAGAACACCTGTTCCTAAAAGAGCTTAGTACCCATGCTTCACACTGTAAGAGAGGATGCGTTTCTAGTGTAGCCTTACAGACACACAGGCATGGTGGAAAAGATTTTGGGCTTTGGAGTAAGTTTGGTTCCAGTCCCCAACTCCTCTTGAAACTGAGTGATTTCAGTTGTCATAAAAGGTACCTCTCAAGCAACGCATTTGATAGCGACAGTTTTTTTTCTGAGACAGTACTGAGATAGAAACCCCCTCTAGTTCTTACAACGAAATCCAAGAATCTTTGTATTTCTCCTTCAAGACTTGAAGTGGCTTCTTTTCTAATAAATTTAGTTCCGTGTCCTGAAACCAGGGTGGGTGCAGCTTCTCTAAAATGGATGAAAAAATCAAGTCACATGACAGGGCCTGAAGAGGGAAATGATTTTTGCAACATAACCAAATTTAAATTCTGCTTTGGCTGTTAAAAACCAGAAGGAGAAGAGGTAAACAAAGAGCAAAGGCAAGTGGAGACAGTTTGAGTGCTGGGTTCTTCAGGTTTTCAATTCCTTTCTGCCCTGTTGGCTTTGACTTCATTCTCATACTTATTAGGTCTATTCAATGGAAGCAGAAATAAATCTATGGGACACGCTGATATTAGCCAGGAAGCACGATTTGTTGAAAAATGAGGATGCGATAAAAGGGTCAGGTGCCTTTAGTCACTAAATTCCACAGTTGGCAAAAGCTATTCATCCATCAGTGACAACCACAGCTGTAGTGGTCTCCCTACAGCCATGTTTTGTTGGACTCAGCCTTGAGATCCTGGTTTGTGACTTCCCACTCTCCATCGTATACACCTGAACACTCTTCGATAGCACCCTGTGAGCTCCAGAACACACAAAAGGCACCGAACAGAACTGTCCCAGAGCAGGCATTAGTTTTTCTTCTGCTACCTACCCCGACACTCAGACTAGGAACTCGGTGCCATTTGCTGGGCTGTCGACACCATGGACAGCTCTTCAGGCGCCACCTAGTTGGCTAGGCGAGCCGACCATACCGAGCCCTCCCTCCTCTCCCGTCAGGCCCGTGGGGGCGGCAGGGGGTGGTCCTGACGCCCAGCTTGGGGAGCAGCAATACGCAGCCCCCCAAGCTTTTCTCCTGAGTCCCTCTCCGGCGCTCACGCTCTGAAGAGCCCACGCAAAGGGACCAAGGAGGCCGGATCTTCCCTCTCCTTGCACCCCCGGCGGTGGGATCGCAGTTCGGCCTGGGGGCGGCCGCAGGAGGCGAAGGTCGCTGGAGACTGAGGCTCTGGCCAACCGCTGGTGCCCGGCCTGGCCGGTAGGCGCAGAGTGGGCGTGATCTCTCTCCTGACGCCCCGCCCCTTCCCTCGTGAGGGGCGGATCTTCCGCCCGCTGCCGCGGCGCAATGCGGAAGAGATGGGCCTGCTGGAGCGGAAGTGACGCTTCTGGAGGCAGTGGCGGCGGCTGCGGGAGAAGGAGGAGGAGGAGTCGGAGGAAGGGGTGAGCAAGCCGGCGGGGGGCGGGGAGCGGCCGCGGCCAGACCCACCGGCAGCCGGGCAGGCGGACGCCTCCAAGACCAGCCTCTGCCTCCGCAGCCTCAGCGGGAGCGGTGAGGGGCGACCGCGAGCAGCCGGGGTGCGGGAGAGCGGGCGCGGTTGTGAGGAGACCACGGGTTGTGCAGGGCGCCGCGTCAGGCTGGGGGCTGGTGACAGCGGCTGTCAGCCTGCCCGCGGGAACGAACCGAATCCGCCTGGGTGCCGGGTCATCTCTTCTGGCGCATAAATGGAGGGTTTGGGCTTCTCGGCTCTTCAGTCTCTCTGAGAAGGAGCCGTTTTCCCGGGCAGTCGACTTCCCGGGACCCCGAGGAGCCCCAGTCGGGTCGGTGCCCCGAGTCATGACTCTTCCCGGGTGGCCATTCGTATTTTTTCGGCCCCGCCTGCCGTCCCCCGAGCCGACGGTAGCCCGGGGCAGGGGAGGCGGTGGTAACCTGTGCCGTTTCCCTTGCCCTTCGTCGCCACCCCCAGGAGAGCCTGTCGCGTAGAATAATCCTTTTCCTCCTCCTGCCCCCTAAGGAGCTTTGAACCAGCCTTGTCACCCTTCCCTCCCACCTCCGCTCCTTTCCCCTCGAAGGAACTGCTTGAAGTTTCCAAATCGGTTCCCTTTCAACGTAGTGACAGATCTTGAAGCAGGAAGCTGATAAACAACTCCGAACGAAATACGCTCAAAATTTTTCCTTTCAGTAAGCATAAATTAAACGGGAAACTCAACCAAACCGTTGATGGACTTACAGTGCTAAAACCTTGTCTTGCCTTGGTATGAGAATTGGTAGCTTTTCCTCTTGCTTTTTGGTAAAATTAAGTGACGACTTATCTTTTGGAACAAGCCATTTTCTCCCTGAGCTGTCTGTTTTTTCCCCACCCCAACCCCCCATCAAAACCTGGCAGGGAGGGACTTTTGGATGCTTTGCAGTCCTTGCTGCAGGAGGAAACATCAGCTTCATTTGCTTTGCTTTGCTTGGTTTCCACAGGGCTGCCTCCGAAGAAAGGAGAATGGCGTTCAGTAAAGGATTCCGGATCTATCACAAATTGGATCCCCCACCTTTCAGCCTCATAGTGGAAACTAGGCATAAGGAAGAATGTCTCATGTTCGAGTCTGGGGCCGTCGCTGTGCTCTGTAAGTCATCTGTTAGAGCCCAATTTATCATGGTCTCTGCTTTGATTTGAAATAATTCAGATGCAACCATTTTTAGAAAAGAGCCCGACAACCCTTTCACTGTATTTCCTCTAGCAGATTATGCTTGTATTTCCTTTTAATCAAAGTTATTTTCCTGTAAACTTTCTGTTAACAGGTTTTTGTTGAGGGGGGGTGCAGGACGATGCCAGTTTTGGTGCAGGATTTTGCTTTCTTGGGTTCTGCTGCTGCTTCTAAAAGTAAATTTTTTTTCCAAAGAAATATTGTTGCAGTTTGTATCATATATCACATAAACCCATACGATGTCTTGCTTGACATATTTACTGGTAGGTCTGTTATAGTAGTAGGTATTATCTAATGTTATCCAATATTGTTGGAGTATTTATGTTATGGCCGTTATGTTTTCATTAAGGGAATTGTAAACAACCTCTAGATTTTCATGTGAGATACATGATTGATTTTATATTATTTTAAAAAGTATTTTGATAGTCTAATTTAAAGAAAAGGACTATTGTACCACAATAAAAATATATTAGTAAGGTCTGAGTTATTTTAGGGGCAGATGGATGAAATTAAAATTAATTTGAATACTATGTTTCTTTCTTAATGTAAGATATGCCAGGTGTGGAGGCTCATGCCTGTAGTCCCAGCACTTTAGGAGGCCAAGGGGGACAGATCACTTGAGGCAGGGAGTTTGAGACCAGTCTTGGCAGCGTGGTGAAACCCTTTCTGTACAAAAAATACAAAAATTAGTCCGGTCTCGTCGTGTGCACCTTTAGTCCCGGCTACTCAGGAGGCTGAGTTGGGCGGATTGATTGAGTCTGGAAGGTCGAGACTGCAGTGAGCCTTGATCTCGCCGCTGCCCTCCAGCTTGGGCATCACAGTGAGACCCTGTTTCAAAAATTAAAAAGAAAAAAAAAGTATATGATTATATATATATGAATTAGGCAGATAATCCTAGTGTTAGGATTAGTTTAGTTACTGATTATATCCTTATAAATTAAAAATAGTGTTTGAAAGGCATACTTACAAATATAAGCCCTTAAATATCTTAAACTACTAAGCTTTCTCCAACCTCAGTAAATGAAGAGCTTAAGACCACACTGTTTACATATAGAGTATTAATGTCAGTTAAAGTGTTAACTTGACTAAAATAGTACAATTGCATCTGATGGGGAAAAAGATAGTGACATAATGAAAAGAAGCAAAGAACAGTGTATAAGAAATATATATTTGGTACATAAGTTTTTGAATGAAGGAGAAGGGGCTCTAGGTCTAAGAAATAAGTATAAATAATATTGACTATACTCAATCAGTATGGGCTTAATTACTTCAAGTTGTTTTTTGGATTTAAATCAAACTGTACCTTGGTACAGTATTAATTTCCATTGCATATATTTTTATACAAGTGTAATTCTTATACTGATGAATTCTTAATAAAAATATTTGGCGGGGGGGCGAATGTTTGCTTTCCTATGGGAAGCATTTTTCAGCTGCTTGTGTTTTTTGGTGACATTACCTGACTTACTAATCTTGTGTAAATTCTAAACGTGTCTTTATGATTACTCATAACAGCAAGTCACATTTTCAGCTGCAAACTGTGTATTACTTATAGTTTTTAGAATTATTGCTATACTTTACTCCAATGTT